GCACTGATGAGGGGAAGCGGGCGAGACAGGAGAGGTCTGCTGCGCCATGTGGGTATCTCCCTGGCCAGCCAGGAACGGAACTCACGTTGCAGAGGCTGCGGACAGCTTCACAGCGCTGTGCTCAACCCGCTGCGCCACCAGCGAGGCCCGAGTCCAAACATTCTTTCTATCTTGGGTTCCCCAGCTGTATTTTCCTTCTGTCTCTCTCCTCTTCCTTCCTCATCCTGATTTTAATAGATAAACTTCCAATTAGAATAGAAAGAGTAACTTCAATATATGGATTCTACATTGTATTCCCCTCTACTCAGACTTCTGTATTATCTGAGCTAAAATGTCAGCCTTGAACATCACCCCCCCGCTGGATCCGAATGTTGAAAAGAGGCTTCCATTTAAACCTTTTCATGTTTTGCTATGGATGCTCTCCCTTGCCCCAGAGATTTAGAGGGAATAATCTCCAGGTTTTGTTTTTCTTCCCGGTAAAAATCTGTCCCGGCGTTAGACGCGCTGCCACTTTCCCCCCTGACATTTCCTTTACATAGTGCTGCTGTTCTAAACTGATGGTCACGCAGTCCTTCTCAATAACACGGAGACAAAACGCTCTGCATAGCTGATAAATTATAAGCAGGCACCGAGTGTTAGCTTGATGGATTGTTATAGTGAACGTGTGTGAATCATGGGTGTTATTTTTGGTCAAAAGAATTGTGTGAACTTTTCTCCTCTATTTTGAGTGCTTTGAAATGTACTACTTTCTTTTCTTTTTCTCTTACTTTTTTTTTTCTTTTTTTGTTCTTTAAGGTGTATGTCAAGGAATTAGGCACCATATCAGAGTAGTCATTTTCTAGTTTTCAGAGTTATTGTTTTGGAGTTGAGGAGGTGGAAGGACTGAATAGAAAAGAATTGTGTGTTGACAAGTGAGCCAGCCTGTGAAATGTAAAAGAAAATTACAGTCACCTGCTTTAAAGGGGGGGAATCTCCCCCACCCTACCTTACCCCAGGGGTCAATTTTAGAGCTGGGATAGATTTACTGTGAACTCGCTTGTGATTCTAATTAACCATTGTTTTGCAGCTACTGTAGAAGTGCTGGCTTTATTTTACTACATTTCTTTTCAGCCAGGGCTGCAGAGTAAATAGTGTTTGACAATCCCATCACTGAGTCTCTAAATCGCTGCTTCCTAGAGCTGCCCTGTCTTCTGTGTCAAGGGAAGCATTGAGGTATGGGTGTCTGCTTCACTCAAATGTCCAAATACCTGGGAGCATTGCTGAGCTCAATGCTATTCAAAGTGAAGCTCCAGGACCGGTGCCAGGCTGCAAGCTGTTCGTTTCTGGTCTGAGACAAAATAAGTACAGAAATTGAGAGTAAATGTTCAGCAACTTTTAGAACCATCCAAAAGTTTGATTTTATGTCTCTTGAATCTAACAAATAATTGGGGTCTTGATGTCTTCTTAAATGCATTTTCCTGTAATTGATCTTTCATGGAGTGAAAGTGGAAAATTGGTCTTTCAGCACTGATAGACAAAGTTGTCCTGGGTTAGCGACTATGGTGATGTGGGTGAATGAACATTGGGGTCTTCTCACCCACCTGAGGGGCTCAGGCCATTATTGATTCAAAAGAGGTTAGGGATTTTGCATATATATATATATATATATATATATATATATGCAATTATATATATGCAAATATATATATATTGGTCTTGTTAACATTTCATTGTTGCTGTTACAAACATTTCTTTCTGAGGTTCTCTTCCAGTACTAGGAGAAGGCAGGCTCCATGCTGGTGAATTTTGCTGTGTCTCCTGCAGATGGGGTGTTAAGATCCCCAGACCGTACAGGGGTGCCCAGAGAGCCACCTTCACTTGCAGAGCCAGCCCTGAGCTGCTCTACTCTCCCCACCTCTTGGCCAGTCTCTCTGGCCTGGCGAACCTGTCCCTCCATCTGTTGGGGAGGGATTATGCTTGCTGAGCTAATGTCTGGGAAATGTTCTGGAGTTCCTTGGAGGAAAAGCAGAGGCCGCACATTTGTGATACCTTATGCTAAGGGAAGGTGGCTGCAGGATGGAGACGAGGAACCAAGAAAATCAAGAACTGAATCATCTCTTCACTGCACTGCAGTGCCTGGGGTCATCCAGCCTTTGTGACCTTGAACAGTTTCTGAGGTGGAAATTTTGCAATGTGATGGGAGAGAGGGAGGGAAGGAAACCAGTCTCCTTTCCCCACCTGGAGCTTTCGCTTTCCAACTAGAATAGAAAGCGTGATCAGCATCGTACTTCCCTGGATGCTTTCGCTCCAGGATATTCACAAGGTTCACGTTCACACTCTCCTTTTTCAAGTCTTGGCTTGTATGTGTCTTTTTAGTGAGGCCTTTTGTGACCCTTTGCCTGCTTTACTTTTCGCCATGGACATTATCTACCTAGTAAGTCATTTCTTACTTTATTGTAGTACAATGCATTAAAGTAATATCATTGCTTAAAATGTAAGTTTACAAGGACAGGGGTTTTGTCTGTACTGCTCACTGTTGTATCTCCAGAGTCAGAGCAATGTCTAGTCCCTGTAGGTGCTGAATAAGAATTTGTGGTATCAGTGAACGGACACTGAGTGGTTAATTTGGGGCCACAGAAGGGCACTGTTAACGGAAAGTGCCTTTAGCTAGCACCTACTATTTGCCAAGCACTGTGGTAGAAATCTGATGTTCGTTACAGATCACTAGATGTAAGTATCAGATCACTAGACGAAGTCTATATATTTAGCTCCATTTTACAGATGGGACATTAACAAAGTTAAGAAACTTACCAAAGGCCACCCAGTCTAATAAGTGACAGAACTTGGATCCAATTTAGTCTATCTAATACATCGAGAGGAATTTCCAAAGAGTCAGTTGGCCATAGTTTCTCTGATTTGAAATGTGATTTGATTTTCCTCATCCTTCATCAGGTTTTTATTTGATGAGAACAGAAATCTAGGAAAATTCAGGCACCACTATTATGATGTATGAACTTTGCAAGGATGGAGTTGAAAAAGTAGAAGACATCATTGAATAATCACCAATAAGAGAGTGGAAATCAGGGCTTAGTTACATTCAGCCATTGAAGGGGAGTGGTGCTTCTCATTCTTTTAATGTGAGACTCCACATCGACCTAGGCCTAAGTGTCGTCAACTATTATTACTCCAGATCCTGCTCTAGGCTGAGGCCACACCCTCCAGATTCAGCATACTGCCTCTCACCTAAAAAATATTTATGGAATATATGCTACTTGAAATAAGTCAGTAGAGAGGACAAAGTTCCTAGACTTTTATGAAATTTACATTTTAGTGGGATGAGGGAGACTGAAAATAAAGAGTAAGCCATGACCTATGGCAGTTGGTGTGGAAATGTAAGAAAAGGTGTGTAGGGGAGGGACGTGGGGGTTCAGGGTGGAGGTAGGCAAGTTGCAGTATTAAATGGAGTGGTCCAGGTGGGGCCTGTTGAGGTCATGACCTCTGAACACAGATCTGAAAAAGGGCAAGGCAGAGAAAAGGGACTCTGGAGCATTCTAGTTTGCAAGAACAGTGCCTTGGTGCTAAGACACGTTTAAGCCTGGCTTGTTGGGGAACAGCAAGGAGGTGAACTTTGGGGGAGCTGAATGGCAAGGGTGGAGACCACCAGACATCCCAGTGGATGGGAGATGCAGGTGAAATGAAATGAGAAGCCAAAGTTGAACCAAGGTTGAAATCTTTATATTCTTTCATCATTATTCCCTTTTAGTAGCTGACATGACTGGATATTCCCAAAGGATCAGCATTGAAGTCTTTGGTGATTGAGCCGCTACGTTTGCACAAGTTCCTTAATATCTTTGGATGTGGATATTTTCTGCTATAACATGAAGAGACACTATCACTTCTACATAAAATAATCCCTTGTGTGACTATTTCTGAATGATTCCTTTCCAGGAGTCATATTCTGATAACTTGCTTGTTTCCTCTCCTCCTTCTTTTATTTATTCATTGGGAATTTTTAAAATATTTGCTGCAACACAAGCACCTTCTGGAACCAGATAGGGGGATGCCAAGGAAGTAGAAAAGAGACTGTCTTCTCTGGCTTGCAGTCTTCTTGCTAAGACTAGATAAGAAGGTAACAAATAAGGTGAGGCTAGGGGAAGCTGTGTCTGGCAAAGCACAAAAAGTGGCAAGAGCAAGAATTCAGGAGATGCCAAGTGAACGCAAAGTTAAGGCTTGAGTGGATTTAAGCGCGTCCATAGTGGCAAAGAACCAGCAATTCGGGTTTGGGGAAGCTGAGAAAAACTTGGGGGGCATGGGAAAAGATGCCCACATGTTCTTCAGAGAGGGGTGATGGTTGTGTTAGAGGAAGCTCAAGTGACAGGAGGAGACTGGCCAGTGGGGACCTCCCCCTACGGGAGCCAGGACCAGGGCATCTGGGTCCTAGCAGGAGGCACATTTGCAGGAAGGGAAGACCATGAAGAAGCTGCAGTGGGGGCCGCCCTGGCTGGTGCTCTGTGGGCTGGAGTGGGCAGACACAGATCAGGAGACCAGTAAGTCTCTTCTGGGCCCTGACGCTTTATCAGCCTCTTTCATGGGGCACATTCTGGGCTTTGAGGTCACTCATTGAACAAGATCTCTCTGAAGGGAAAAAAAAATATTGAAACAAGGGAATGAGTCTTTTTCTATATTGTTGATCCAAATTTTAGAATTGATCTCTCTGTCCACTTGCAAACTTTTCAGTGAGGCATTTTTTCAAAATGTCAACTATGACGAACTCTAGTTTTGTCGCTGAGCCATCCTGGAAACAAAGACCATCCCCAACTGAGGTTTTGGCCAACTTCATTTCCCTCCACCCCACTGTAGCGGTGGGATTTGCACAGTGGCACCATTCATGCGTGCGTTCCCGCTAATGGATGGTGTGGCTCGGATGGGCCTGGATGCCAGCCCCAATAAACCCGACAAAGCCTCTCATTTATCTGCTCCTTCCTTTCTCATGTTGTATCATCATGTGTTGATATTTCCAGGCTAATCTTGCACAACTATTGAGAGATTCTCAGGACCGAAATAAACAGCTGGGAGAAGAAATTAAAGAACTTCAGCAAAGGCTTGGAGAAGTCCAGGGCGACAATAAGGTATCGTGAATATGAAAAGGGAAAAGCTGTAATGCGTAATCGTGCGAGGGAGGTTTATGTATAGCACATCGGAAAAATGGAATGCTGCATTTGCTGAGAAATTTGTTATAGATTTTTACATTTGCAATGAAAATTCAGTTTAGCATTTCTTATCTTTATTGCGGTCCCTTTGTGTGGATGTGTGTGCGCATGTGGTTGTGTGTGTTGCTGGACTGCTCTAAAATATTGTCAAACCCATTGTAAAAGCTTCATCATGTTCAGCTTGGTGGCGAATAACACTGTGGTTGAGGGCAAAATAAAACCCAAATGCTACACTTTCCCCCCTTCTATACAAATAATGGATTTGTGGCTCAGATGATTTGGAATTATTCACATTCGGTTTTGAATTTTAAGTAGTCATCCTACTAATTATGTTCACATAACCAATTTATTTTATTGCTAAATTTGGCAATTTGTATGGAACATTGCTCAAAATCCACTGCTTGGTATTAATCAAACTCCCCTGTTGGCAACGTTAATTATAAAATATGAACTCATAAACTCCAAACTAAATGTGCGCACTCTCTCCCAGCTGAAGCTACGAACAAAAGTACAATTCAGAAAAGGAAGAAAAACAGCCGAAGCTTAACTCTAGCCCCCATCTAATTTCCCCTTTTGCCAAGATAGATTAATTTTCAACTCCTTGCCAGAGGCAGCTTTCACAGCAGAGATGACCACTGGCGTTTGATTCAAGAAAACCACAGGCTGGGGAGGAAGCATTTTCTTGGAAATGTTTTTCAAATGTTGCCAAATTCTTTGACAAATAATGGTGACATTTCTGGGAGTTGTTGGTTATTGGAAGGCGCCATTTTGAACGATGCTCACCCCTAAACAAATAATGCACGGAAGTGTCGGGTTATCCAGAGAGTTCTGTCGAGCACGAGGTCACAGAGGGTCTCCCCGACACTGCTGGGCGAAAGGGCCCAGCAGGGAGCACTGGGGCATCTTCCTGATTGTGACTTCTTCTCCATTTAATCGCCCTTGAAAAAAATTTTTAGACCTCTTGGATTTAACATGTATTTGAAGAATTGGACTCTGTCCTTCCCCGACGTGAAACAGAAAGTGGGCGAGAAGGCCTCAGAAAGTTATAATTAACCAGGACAAACTAATCAGGCCTCTGCAGGGTTGTATGCATCATTACAAGGATCTAAGCTCTGTAACCTAGGTGTTTGGTCAATAATTAAAGGCCAGACCTTCTGAGTCACTTCCACAAGAGATAACAGCAGGACAAGGTTTTCCGGAGAATAAGATGAAGTGTTGCAGGAGTTTCCTTTAAACCCATAAAACTACTGCAGGAGTTTTAGAGACATTTTAAGCCCACAAAATTCTGAAGCATTTTGAGATGTCAGTTTTGGATTCCTGCCTCTTATTGACCAATTTTTTTTTCTTATATTATTTCCTTTCTTTTATTTTTAATGAGCTATCCCCACCCCCAACTGTTCTAACTATATTTTAGCTTTATCTTTTAGTTACTTCATTGTAATTCCTTTTAAGCTTGAGATATTTTAGAGATTGATATTTGCCCCTGATATTTCAAGGAAAGAAAGGGAGGAATTTGTGTGTGTGTGTGTATGTGTGAGAGAGAGTGAATGTGTGTGTAAGTATGTGTATGAGACTGTGTACAAATATGAGTGTGTATGTATGTGTGCATGTGTGTGAGACTAAATGTGAGTCTATGATTGCATGTGCGTGTACAATGGAATGTGAGTATGCATGTGTATATGTGGGAGTGACAGTGAGCATGTGTGATTACACACACGTATGTGAGTGTGTGCATGTGTGTGTAACACTAAGCGCCGGTTCGGGCGCCTCCACACTCCACACTTCATGATTTGTTCTCACTCTGGTTTTTATTCCAGTAACTGAACACATTTATCAAACTTTTTTTCTCACCCAAGGTTTAGAATTTAGTGGCTCATATTCATGGCCTGTGAAGTAATTCTCCTGCCAAAAGGTGCAGGCAAGATGTTATAATATTCAGCAGATCCCGTATCTCAGTATCCAGCCACCCCCTCAAAAGAGACCGACTGCAGTGAGCCCCCAGAGGTTCCATTTATTCTCATTTGCATCTGAAGTTATAGGGCTGGTTTATTTTCAGCCCCCGTGAGTCACAGCCACCCTCCCCCAGCCCCACCCCCAGCCATCATCGCTAAGGCCAGATTACTCATTCCATAATGATATAAACATCTTGAGAAACTCAGAAGTCCATGTTCAAAGGTGGCTGAAGGGTTAACCTGCTTTTTTTCCATTCTTCGTGTTACTCCCTGCTCCAATCATTCCATCACCTTCTACGTCCACCTCCTAGCCGTGCTGTGGTAGGCACTCCATTATGTGCTCCCTGTTGTTTTCTCCAGCACATCCCTGATCACTGGGCACTTGCAGCTTCAGCCGCCATGCTCATTTCAGCCCCTGTGCTGAGCTGTACTGCCTGGTGCGTCGGGGCCTTTGCACCTGCTGTTGCTCGGTCTGAGCCACTCTTTCCCTTTTCTTCCCCTGCAAACTCCTGCTTGTCTTTCGGATCATAGGTCAAAGGTAGACTTCTCAGGCTCTCAGAGGCAGGTCCTGTGCATGCCCACCGTGCCCCCCCCCCACTTCCCCTCAGCTTAGACTGGCGTGGCACCCCCATCCCCAAGGGTGAAGCTGCATGCATGCTGGATTCCTGACTGGGGTGCTCCTGTGTTCCTGGGCATTAACACTCCCATTAGTTCCTGACACATTCCCAGGAACCTACGAACTATGTTAGGTGAAGACTTACTGTCCCAGAAATCGGTGGACTCACCACCCTTGTGCTTGTCACCAGTAACTCTCTTTGTGGAGTGAGGAATTATTTAGAAATCTGGAGAAAGGAGCTAAACAAACTGTTCCCCAGAGAAAAGCCAAACCAAACCGAACCCCAGGCGTGAGGCCTTGGGAAGCCCAGTGGAGAGAGTCAGGGGTCCGTGGCCACGCCCTGGTAGACCGGGGCTTGTCTGCCCACCTGTTCCACTCAGGGACATCTCATAGCTGCCACCAGGCCGCCCACTCCAGTCCTCACAGCAGGGCTGATGGCATCGTTTTATGAGTAACTCTTAACGTGGAAGGTTTTTATCTTCAAGTTGCCATTTTAACTGATGATCCTGACCCATCTTTTGGGAAGCCCAGATTCTAGATGTTAAGTACATTTAAGAAACAAGGTGATAGGAAATGAGTCGCCTTGAATATTTTCAGGTAGACTAATTTTTCCATTTGTTCAGCTAGAGCCCTGTAGCCCTATGTGCCATAAAGCATTTTCAAACAGTCTCTTGAAAGATGTGTTGCCACCCCCGCTTACAGCCAGCTTTGCACTCCCCCGGGGGCCTTGGGGGGTTGGGGGCATAATCAAGTGTGACCTGCCATCCTTCTGGACAGGACCCAAGAATTTCTCAGCCAACGGAACTGACACCAACCCCTGCTCCAAACAGATGAGAGGAGCACAGAGGGAACCCCACCAGACTGCACCCCACCCTTGATAATTATAGTTGTGAAAGGTTAAGGAGAAAAGAAGATGCCTGTGGGGAAAGGGGAGGGGGGGGCCTCACATCCCCACGATCACAGATACGGATTGCCCAGGGCTTTCAGTGTCTCCATCTGTGAGGAATAAGGACCAATTATATGGAAAAACCCAGACAATGCTGGCGCCTCAAGTCTCAAAAGCAGCCACTGGGAGAATAGCAACCCCCCTTCCTGCTGAGAGGTCTGCTTGCTGCCTCTTCTGGGCATTAAAAAATAATGATTCAGGGCCTCCCTGGTGGCACAGAGTTTACGTCTAGGCCTCTATGGCCTGAGTTCAATACCCGGCCAGGTCGTTAACCCACATGGCGCAGTAGACCTCTCCTGTCTCGCCCGCTGCTCCCCTCAGCAGTGTATTTCAGTAGATCTGCCTGTTCTGCTCCCCACTCTCTGTCTAGTGAATCCTTTCACCCCTCCCACCTCTGGTCTACACCCCAGTTCTTCTATGCCAAAAAAAATTTTGTTTAAAAAAACTGATTCAGGGAAGGGGGACCTGGAGGCAGGGGGAAGTCTCTGAGAATCTGAGGGTTAGTAATTATCAAATGACAGAACGAGAGGAACGCATTTGAGTCACGTGACCAGAGGTGAGCTGGGAGACCATCCAGAAGAGGCAGCCTGGCTAATAGAAAGAACATGGCTGCTTTCCATGGTATGAGTGCTGATATTGTAACGGACACCAGGTTACCAATGTGAAATCACCGAACATGGAAGCTGGAAGGCTGACACTGCAGAAACAGTCAGTTTCATGCTGCCACTGCCAAGTCCTGTGGTGAAGTATCCAAGGGGTTCATCTTTGCAAATGTTAAGACCAGTTTCTGTTCTTGCTCTGCCAGTTACTGTGTGTCTGGTCTTGACAAGTCAGTTTTCCACTAGCTCTCAGTTTCCTCATCTGTAAAATGGGAGCAATAATTCCTCTCATAGAATTGTTTTCAGGTTTTATTATTTATACATCCACACATAACTGGGGGCTTATACTATGTGCTGATGAATGTGCTGGGGGCCGTGACTGCGTTGAGGACTAAGAAAGGCAAGGTACCCATTCTCATGGAGCTTGTATTCTAGTTGGAGAGATAGACAGTAAGAAAATTAAATACTTAAGGTCATCAGACAGTGGCTAGTGTTGGGAAGAAAAGAAAGTAGGACAATGAGATTTGATGATGAGGGTGTATGTGTGCGTGTGATAGGACATGTGAGTAGCGCAGCCTAGCGCATGGCACCGGTAAGTGCTCCAGAGGGGTAAGTGTTGCCCCTATCTTTAGCATGACCTGCACCTAGATTGGCTTAGAATCCTCTTGTTCAAAAATTCTACCAGAGAATGTAAACTGGTCCAGACACTATGGAAATCTGTGTGGAGGTTCCTCAGAACACTGGAGAGGAATCTATCCTAGGATCCAGTGATTCCATACCCCTAGGAATCGACCCAAAGCACACAA